GTACTTTTTTGCATTACAATTCTTATTACACATATATACCACAATTTTTCATATCTCTGTATATAAAGTATGTTGACACCCAATTCGAGTGTCATACATGTAGTTTGTATAATGATATCACATTCCACCATCCTTGCTAATCCCCTGCCCCATCCCTTTCCCTCCCACCCCTCTTCCCTTTAAGAAATTCATCTATTCCTCCCATGCTCTACCTCCATACCCCACTAGGAGTCAGCCTCCTTATATCAGAGAAAACATTTGGCATTTGTTTTGGGGAGGGTGATTGGCTAACTTCACTTAGCATTATCTTCTCCAATGCCATTCATTTACCTGCAAATGCCATGTTTTTTTTTTCTTTTATTGCTGAGTAAAATTCCATTGTGTATATATACCACATTTTTTTATCCATTCATCCACTGAAGGGCATCTAGGTTGGAGTCTTGTTAAGGAAGCCCATTCCTAATCTGACATGATGGAGAGATAGGCCTACTTTTTCTTCTATTAGGCACAAGGTCTCTGTTGTAGTGCCTAAATCTTTGATTCACCTTAAGTTAAGTTTTGTGTAGAGTGAGAGAAAGGTGTTAAATTTCATTTTGCTACATATGGAAAGATTTCATCTCACTCCAGTCAGAATGGCAATTATCAAGAACACAAGCAATAATAAGTGATGGTGAGGATGTGGGGGAAAAAGTACAATCAAACATTTCTGGTGGGAGAGCAGATTGGTGTAACCATTATGGAAAGTAGTATTGAGATTCATCAGAAACTTTGGAATGGAAGCATTATTTGATCCAGTTATACCACTCTTCGATTTATACCCAAAGGACTTAAAATTAGCATACTACAGTGACACAGTCACATCAGTATTTATAGCAGCTCAATTCACAATGCCCAGGCTATGGAACCAACCTAGATATCCTTCAACAGATGAATGAATAAAGAAAATGTGGTATATATACACAATGGAATATTACTTAGCCTTAAAGAAGAATGAAATTATGGCATTTGCAGGTAAATGGATGGAGCTGGGGAATATCATGTGGTGAAATAAGCCCATCCCCAAAACCCAAAGGCCAAATGTTTTCTCTGATATGTTTATGCTAATTCACAATAAGGGAATTGGGGGCTAGAGAAGAATAAATGTACTTGTGTTTAGACAGAGGGGAGTATAGGGAGAGGAGGGGATATGGGGGTAGGAATGACAGTAGAATGAATTAGATATTATTACACTATGTGCATATATGATTACACAACTGGTGTGATTCTACATCATGTACAACCAGAAAAGTGAGAAGTTGTAGTCCATTTATGTATGATCTGTCAAAATGCATTCTACTGTCATGTATGATTAATTAAAGCAAATTAAAAAATGATATGGAGATAGATAGATACATACGTAGGTACAAAGTACCTAGATAAAGTAAGGTGGATACCTAAGACTTCTACTTAGTGGTTTAAAAAAAGACCCGTAGATTAGATTAGTAAAAGTACATGGTTACCTGTAAAGGCAGTTAATATTGTCTTTCAACCTGACAAAGATACGATGTTATGTTTGGGGCCACCAGAGAATTCCAGATTTTGTCACAGGTCAAATTGTATACACTTAATAATGGTAAACAATTTTAGGTCAGGAGCCCAGAATATGTCCAGAACATTAATACAACCTAATCTAAACATTAAGAACACCCCCACACTTGTCAGTTGCTTACTACAGAGTGCAAAACTATCTTATATCCATACTTAGTATAGATGGAAACATCTGGAAATCACCTTCATTCTATCATTAAAACAGTAGTTAACAATGATGAAATATCAGAAAAAGTTCATCCAAATTTCTTATCAAAGAAAACACAAAAACATTTTGGGATCTTTTCATGATGTTTTAGAAAACATTTCTATTCAAGTTAATTTGGGATATATGAGGTATAAAACATTAGACTAATGCCTAGTGTACCATATGTGTTGAATGTGGACTAAAATGTTTCTAGTTTATAAAATCAATATTGACATTGTCTCAGCCCTGAGGTTGCAGCATGCCATTGCTGTTGTGACAGTTTAATACCACATTAATAACATACATTATGATTTAGTATCTTCTAAATTAATATTGCTTTGTCAATGTTTTACTCATCACTTTACAAATTGCAGTTCTGCAATAGATAATTTGTATACTGAACAAAATGCAAAAATGATGGAGTGGTTCAATTTTTTGCTTAGCAATTACTCTTTCAAATTTTTGTATTTTCTGATTTTAATCATGTTTATCATACCATTGTAACTAAAAACAAATTTCTGTGTTTCATTGTGGTTACATTCATTGTTTATTGATATTCCTCTTTCCCAACCATCCTTCTTTGTTGCAGCATAACACTGTCTTATTGATTTTAATTAGAATTTCAAGTTTGTCAATGGGAAACTATGTAAATGCACCAAACCATAAATTACTTCCCTGCTTTGTGGCAGTTACTCTATAATATCAAACATAAGGATGAAGAGAGAAAACAGTTGGTATAATCTTAGAAGTTTCACAGGGTCTCAATAAACATTCAAAACCTCCACACCTTCAAGAAAATTATTTTGGATTCTTTAAGTCTATCAAATTTAAACCAATTTCCCATCTTACAAGTTTCCATTCAGGTCAACTGAAGGTTCATCACAGGAATTAAATAATTAGCTACTTGTTTCTTCCCAGTTTGACTGGAAAAGATTGTCTCTATACATAGGACCAGGTATCCCTCAATCTTTACATGTATTGCTAAAAAATATGGTGTTTCCTTAGCTCATCTGGTTAAATACTGGTTAAGATCCCCCACTTTTGAATTGATTAAAGGTTAACTTTGCCTGTAAATCAGCCTGAAAGAGTTCTGAGGAGGATGAAGATCCCCACACCTGGGGTAAGAATGGTTGATGAATGGATAGAACGTTTAAGAAATCCTGGCAGAGGTCTGGGATTGTGGCTCAATGGCAGAGCACTTGCCTACCACATGTGGGGCACTGGGTTCAATCCTTGGCACCACATGAATAGATAAATAAAATAAAGTTTTAAAAAATGCATATTTGAAAGAAAAAAGGAAATCCTGGCAGAGTTTCTAGCAGGGCATTTGCTTAAATAAATTTTATTTTTTTTTAATATTTATATTTTTTTAGTTTTCGGCGGACACAACATCTTTGTTTGTATGTGGTGCTGAGGATCGAACCCAGGCCGCACGCATGCCAGGCAAGCGTGCTACCACTTGAGCCACATCCCCAGCCCCCTTGAATACATTTTAAATCTTTTATTAAATGAAGGGAGGAAATGGACACAACACCTTTCTTTCTTTCCTTCCTTCCTTCCTTCCTTCCTTCCTTCCTTCCTTCCTTCCTTCCTTCTTTATGGCGCTGATAATACAACCCAGTATCTCACATGTGCTAGGAACATGCTCTACCACTGAGCTACAACCCTAGCCCTCAATTTTAAATATCTAGGGGAAATAACATTTGGTCCTGAAAGCATTTCCCTGGAAAGTTTACACTTTAAAGACAGTTTATATAAATGTAGTATAAATATATCTGTCATTTTGGAACCAGAAATGTCACTCCAGCTAATTAATTTATTCTAATGAAATAACTCAATATTTTTGTTATAATGTGATTTATTCTAGTGATAAATCTGAGAGAAAAAGTATATTGTTTAAAAATTATATTTAAATAACTCAGCATAATACAGCGTAGCCTTTGCCCTCTGTAAATATGATACACAAAGTTATTATAGCAGAGTGTTTACTATGTAAAAATGAGTATCCATATGAACAGAATCTGGGAGGGAGCTAAAGTGAAAATAATTACAATGTTCAATGTGTTGAAAATATGTCAATTTATTCTTTATTTTTAAACCTGTAAATGCAAACATTTTGTAGAGGGCCCCAAAGCTCCAGGTCTGATCTCCATATATAACAAGGTCATAGTTTCAGTTAGCATATGGGACAGTATCATTCAAGTAGAGTTGCTAATATCACAATCCCAGTAGGGTTATGGGGGCAGAGCCATTGAACCCTGAATGAATGAAACATATCAAGCAAATAGGTTGAGCTGCTATACAACATCTTGTTTCCCAAAGTCAGAATATCATCTTTTGTACGGATTAAAATCTTTTTTTTTTAAATAACTGATTTTCTTTTTTTTATTGGTTGTTCAAAACATTACAAAGCTCTTGACATATCATATTTCATACATTAGATTCAAGTGGGTTATGAAATCGGATTAAAATCTAACTCTCTATTTCTCTGTTTCAATTTTTCTTAAAAGAAAGCCCTGGAAATCTATGGTTCCTTCCCATATCATTTTAGGCAATGACTCTGTTCCCAAAGTATGTTCAGTACCAGATTAAATAGCTATGCCACTATGGATCACGACAATATAGAAGTCTGCACTAGTGTGCATTTCACTACACTCTCTAGTGTGGTGATCAAAGTATAATTTCAAATTGGAAGCCATGGTTTCATGTTTTATCCAGCCTATTTTGTATATAATCTTGCTATGTATGAAAACGTTGCTCGAGGGCTGAACCAAAAATAAGTGGTAAGTTTGTTTCCTACTCTGTATATTTTATATGTTATCATACTCTTACAAATTAGTGTGTTCTTTTTTAGTGAACAGAAACTGTTCTTCTTTAAAATATAGCATACATATTTTAGAGGCTTGGAATGGAAAGGGAATGGTGTGTTTTAATAATCTTCAATATATAAGGGCTTCCAAAAGCTATTAATTATTATTTCAAGTTTGTTGAGAGAACCATTAAGGAAAGTGGTCCTATGGTATTAGTAAAAATGGCTTAGTTTTTCCCAGAGGTAGCTTATATCCTTAGATTTTTGAAAGTTTTTTTTAAACTGTCATAGAATGAATTACCATGTTTAATAATAATTTTCTATGAAATGGCATTAATTATTTTCATTATAAAAAAGTAATTAAAAATATTCTCATAGAAAACTATCAAATGACTGTTTATATGACATTTTTTTCAGGTGGAAGTGAATCCTCCTGGGATAAGGATAAGATGCAGTCTCCTCTTGCTGCTCCTGGACCTCAGCATGGAATTGCTCATGCAGCATTAGCTGGGCAGCCAGGCCTTGGGGGTGCTCCTACCCTTAATCCACTGCAGCAGAACCACTTGCTAACCAATAGTATGTATACAATATTCCTCAAACTGATTATGTTGAGAAAATACAATTGTATTAGCAGAGCATAGTCTGTTTAACTTCAATAAGCTTTAATAATTTGAAAACAGAATGGGAGGTAAAGAGGGACTAAGTTGAATGTATGGGATACATAGAGTGGAGGTAGCTGTGGATACCTGGTAGCACAGTAATAATACATGTGAAGAATATTGTCCAGAGTCAAGTAAACTTGGGTTTGAATTCAACATGTTTTTTTTATGCACATGAGTATGGTACTAGGAATTGAATTAAGGACTTCACACACATTAGGCAAGCACTCTACCACCAAGTTTAAATTCCAACCCTTAAAAAAATTGAGAAAGGTTATCATTAAGTTTTTCAAGCTGGCCTCAAGCTTTTAATGCTCCTGCCTCAGACTCCAGAGTACCTGGGGTTACTGGTATGTACAACAACACATGACTAAATTCCACACGTTCTGAATTCCACAACACTGATTTTGGAGAAATAGTCTAAGTTTTCTGCATTTTGGTTTCCACAACAACAAAGAAAAGATAAAACTGTATCCTCTTAAGTTTTTCCAGGACTGAAAATGATAAAGGAAAAGTTATTAGTACTGAATTACATAACATCAAGCACTGTATAAAATATTAACATTATTATTACTCAGTAGTTTAACTACAGCCAGTTTATACAAATTCAAGTTTAATTGCCCTTTTTAGGGACTTAAATGACTCAGAAATCTTTCCAAAGCAAAACAGGTCTTGTATATATTACTTAGCTAACAAGAAGACCAGGAGAGGAATTCCATTACTACTTTACCTAAGCTTTTTATTTCCTCAGTAAAACCTAGCATTATGCAACAGAGAAATTCTGGAATATTGTAATATGATGTCCAAAATATTGAGGATATTAATTAAATGTCTTACTTTAAAGGTGTTATAAGCTTAAGGGGAAATATCCATATAAAGTTGTTCATTATCTAAAGTCAAATAAAATGAATAGTACCTTATGAGAAGTAAAATAAAGACTACTTTAGTTAGACTTATGCCATACAGGAAAGTGACTGAGAGGCTTCTGGATTCTGTAAAGAACCTTGAAAGATATTATTCCTCTTTTTAAAAAATGTTTTTAGTTGTTGATGGACCTTTATTTATTCATTTATTTATATGTGGTGCTGAGAAGCGAACCCAGTGCCTCACACATGCTAGCCCCATTCCTAATCCACAACCCCAGCCCTATTCCTCTTTTTGTAACAAGGAAAAAAAGGCACCAACATTTTTTGATCCATTAAAGATTGTGATCACAGGGCACCACTATTCCAAAAACTCGAGAAAAAGGTGAAGACAGAGAGCCACATGTTATGGATAACAGAAGCCACAGTTGGACCCTGGTACCACATTTAAAGGATAATTGATTAATATAGGAGAATTACTGTGGGCCTAGCTTGATAAAAATTTTCCAGGGGGCCATCTTACTTGACTACTATACTTTCATGAATTTTATCTCTAGGAATCCTAGCAGGTTCTCAGTGTTAATATATGAGACAATTTCTCTTATGCTTGTTGCAGGTTGAAGGGAAAAGTATTTTTTTCCAGTTTTTAGTACCAAGGATAAAACCCACGGGAACTTAACAAGTGAGCCACATCCTCAACCCTTTTTCTATTTTTTTTTTATTTTGAGACAGGATCTCACTATGTTGCTTACAGTCTTGCTAAATGAAAAGACTAGCTTTGAACCTGTGATCCTCCTGCCTCAGCCACCTGAGCCACTGGGATAACAGGCATGCACCACCATGCTCAGCTAAAAAATAATATTTTTAAACATGCCCTGGTTGATTCATTCTTTTAAGAAAAGCTTACCTTCAAAGCAAACTATGTCACCATAAATAACTTGGTTTTAACATAACCTAATTAACATTGAGGAAAAAAATATACTAAAACTCCACACCCTATAACCTTTGATGTGGAGGAAGTGAAATATACAACTCCAGCACCCTTGAGATTTCTTGTCTTTCCTAAGGTGAGGGGGAAGCTGTAAAACACTTGTGAAAACCACAGCCCTAAGATCCAAGCCATGAAGGGTCTGACACCTAATCAGAGGAATGTTGAATGCTTCTGCTTTTCACATTTTCCACCAGTATGATAGGGGGCTTGGATAATTTGAGTTTATTATAGCTGTTAAGAACTGAAAGCCATAGAACCCTATTTAAGATGAATTTTCCAGAGAGAACAACAAAAAAGGAGGATATACAGAAGTAAAATGCTAGAGGAAAGTTTGGCATCTAATACCACAAGTCAAATATTTCAGACAGCCTAACTCCCAACTGGTTCAAAGTAATACTTATAAGGAACGGCCTATTAACTTCAGCCTCACTTACCTGATGCATCATTTTGGGATTAAAATAAAACAGTTATGAGGCCTGATAAAAGGCAAACAATATAGTCTGAAGGGACAGAACAAACATCATGACCAAATTCAGATATAGGAGATATTTAAAATTACCAGACTGGGACCTTAAAAGGACTGATAAATATACTAAGAGAATGGAAAAAGTGGATATTTTACAAGAAAACAGAAAATTTAAGGTCAGATGTAGAAATTTAAAAAAAAAAAGAATTGTTAGAAATAAAAAAGAAAAACGCTGCAACAAAATTAAGAATACTTTTTATAGAATACCAAGGAAAGAATCAGTGACCTTGAGCCACTCATGGTGTGTTGAGAGCCACAGCCGAAGGGGCCCCAGCAAACTTCCAGCTGCCAGCCGATTGGCTCCTCTGCCGTGATGCTCATTGGGCTGTTTCCCTGCCCTTTCAGACCATGGAGCTGATCATTGGGGGACTCTTTTGGCTCCACCCACGCCACCCAGCCAATCGACCTCAAGAGCAGGAGGAGTGGGGGGTTGAGACGCTCCTAGGAAGCCTGTGGTGGCAGTTGGGCTCTGAGGGAATTCCTGAAGAGCTCCTGTGGTGCTGTGTGTGTGTGTGTGTGTGTGTGTGTGTGTGTGTGTTCTAAAAATAAAGTTCATTTCTGCTTGATAAGTGGCTCATGAATTGTGCCCAGCCAGACTGCGGCAATGGTGGACATGCCTGTAATTCCAGCTACTCAGAACAGTGAGGCAGGAGGACTACAAGTTCAAGGCCAGCGTGGGCAACTTATCTCAAAAATAAATAGATAAATAGATAGAAAAATACAAAGGGCTGAGATTGTGGCTGAGTAGTAAAGCACCCTATCCCTGCATGAAAGTCCCAGTAATACATACGCACATATGCATACACACACAATCAGTGAGCTTCAAGTTATATCAATAGAAACTTCTCAAACTGAAAAATAAAGAGAAAAAAATAGTGAAATAAAAAGCCAATACAACACAATATTTTAAAAATATGGCAGGTGTATTGTAAATATAATGTGAATATAAGAAGGAAAAGAGAAGACCAAAAAAATGGTTTAAATTCCAGTGACTGAGATTTTTTCAAAATTAATGAGAGACACCAAAACATAGAATCAAGAAGTTCAGAGAAGGGCTGCGGTTGTGGCTCAGTGGTAGAGTGCTTGTCTAGCACGTGTATGGCACTGGGTTCAATCCTCAGCACCGCATAAAAATAAATAAAATAAAATAAAAGGTGTTGTGTCCATAAACAAAAGATGTTAAGAAAAAACTAAGTAGGATAAATGCCAAAAACTAGAGTTACTCATATCATATTCAAATTATAGAAAGTCAAAACCAAAGGTTTATTTGACTCTTAAACTTGAGAAGAGTTTGTTTGATGAACATGTGGCACATATACACAATGGAATATTACTCAGCAATAAAAGAGAATAAAATTATGGAATTTGCAGGTAAATGGATGGAGTTAGAGAAGGTAATGCTAAGTGAAGTTAGCCAATCCCCAAAAAACAAATGCCAAATGTTTTCTTTGATATAAGGAGGCTGATTCATAGTGGGATAGGGATAGGGAACATGGAAGGAATAGAGGAACTCTAGATAGGGCCGAGGGGTTGGAGGGGAAGGGAGGGTGCATGGGGTTATTAATGATGATGGAATGTGATGATCATTATTATCCAAAGTACAGGTATGAAGATATGAATTGGTTTTAACATATTATGTATACAAACAGAGATATGAAAAATTGTGCTCTATATGTGTAATAAGAATTATAATGCATTCTGCTGTTATATAAAAATAAAAAATAAATAAAAAAATTTAAAAAGTAAAACTTAACATGTTAGAGGAAAAAATAGTGACTATGCACTCCAAATTTGGGGGACTATCTAATAAATGAACAAAGCATCAAAAAAAAAAAAAGAAGAAATTATGAAATGTTTAGAGGATTAAAAGAAACTAGAGTTCTGTATCCAGATAAATTTCTCTTTAAAAGTAAAAGAGAAATGATTTTTCTCAAACAAACAAAAATTGAAGGAATTTAAAATTATAGCAGCAGACTTACCTTGCTAGAAATGTTGAAAGGTCATCCATCAGAGAGAAGGAAAATCATTTAGGTTGAAAATTTTTATATATATGAAGAAAGGAAGAGCACTAAAGAAGAATTACAGTATTAAGTATAAGGTATTAAGTAATATTTGTTATTTTTAATTAATTGAACACATAATAGTCTGTTAGTAATAATAACAACAGTGTATTGGCTGATTACATATGACAAGTAAGTTAAATAAATGACAGCAATTATATAAGGGATGTGATAGAGGAATTGAGAGTACTTTTATAAGTACTTTTATAAGAGGGATTGAGAGTACTTATACTACCCCAAAAGTGGTACAGAACTATCAGCAAATTAATGTAGATTAGTTGCAAATGTATATTGAAAACTCAAATACAAACTTTAAAAAATTAAAATTAAGTCTAACTGATATGCTGAGAAAGCGAGAAGGAGAATTTAGAATCATAGCATGCTCCATTAAAGCCAGAAAAGGCATAAGAATGTGGAAAATAGGGGAACAAAGAGAAAAATCAGTAAGGGCAACAGATAATAAGCAGTTAAAATATA